CCCTGCAGTTCTCGCGGTTGGAGAAGTGAGCCAGGTCGCAGTTGTGCAGGTGGCCGGCGCTGGCAGCCCCCTGGCCGGGCCGCGTGCCCACCTGGCTCGGGTCGATGCCGCTGTCACGCAGGAACTGGCTGTAGGCCACCGCGAAGGCCTGGCCAATGGCCTGAGCAATGAGTTGGGCCTGCAGGGAAACAAGAGTGTCCGGGAGGGTTTCCCACCCGTCCTCAGAGCTGGGCAAGAATGGAGAGGAGGTATCACCACTCAGCAAAGGCTGTGGGAAGGTTCACAGGGCAACTGGGGCTGTCCCTGTGCTAGGTAGAGATCAGCAAGGCTGGGCATTAGAGCTCTGGCTACAAACTCCTATTCATCCTACAAAGCCCAAGCTCCAATATCCCCTCCACCCAGAAGCCTTCCCAGTCCTGCTAGCAAGAGGATTCCTTTCTCTTGGCCTTGAGTGAAGAGGCTTGGAGTGGCTGTATCTTAGCCATGAGATTTAAGGCCACCAGGAAGCCACAGCCTGGTCCTAGGTGACTTCCTCATCCCACAGTCTGAACCCAAGAGCAGGGAAGGCTGGGGAGGCAGCAGGGGTGACAGTCACAGCCTGGTTGGGACCCAGCTGCTCACATCCTCTGAGTGGAAGACGTGGCACAACATCTTGTACAGGGAGCGGTGGTGGTCCTGGGCTCTGGGCTTCCGGGCCAGCCGCCGCCGGGCCATGAGCACCAGCACAGGGCCGATATCAGCAATGTAGGAGATGGTCTGCAGGGCATGGTCCATCATGGCCTCCTGGAGAGAGGGCAGTGAGTGGAGCCCTATCTGGCAGAGCCCCTGCAGCCCGAGGCTGACCCGGTCCTACCTGGGAGTCTGCCATCAGCACCTTGATCCTTCTGGTGGACACGAAGAGATCCACTTCCGTCATGGGCTGTGTCTCCCCATCAGGGGCCTGGGGGCAGGAGGGAGAGGTGGAGCCCCGAGCCCACCGCCCGAGGCCCTGGGCCCCTCTGTCCCCTGCCCCGGCTCACCTTGACGCGGTCCATGGCCTCTTGGGCCTGAGCCATGCGCATGCTGAGGGGCGGGTTTCGCTCGGACAGCAGCTGGGTGGAGCCCAAGTACTTGGCCCCAAATATGACGCCGTCTAGAAGGTCCTCGTGGTCACAAGGCCCAGGGACTGAGGGTGACAGGGGTGGCTCAGCCCTCAGGGCTCCCACAGGCCCACCCAATCCCAACCTGCAGCCCTGCCACACAGCTCCCGCAAGTCCGGGGCCCTCCGTCAGCCTGCCCCGGGCACTGTCACCTGGGCTGGGACTCTCTGAGGTCCAGACCACACCAGACAGTTTCTAGAATTCTGTAGTCTGGCTGGATTCTAAAACTAGTGATGCTGTAGAACTAGACTTGGCCCTGTCCCATAGCTCTGGAATGCCCCCAATCTACAACCCGCTCCAGGCAGCCCAGGGCAACAGGAACTCCAGTCCTTTCTTGTAGAAGGAGACAGCTGTCAGCTTCAAGGTCAAAAACTCCCAGATGGCTCCACTCCTGGATTCTGGAACTCGCTGACAGGGCTCAAAGCACACAGTCCGGTCAGGCCATCCAGAAATCAACAGCACTCCAGAAACACCTTCCAAGTCTGAATTTCTGCTGCTTTCTTTCTTTCCTTTTTTTTTTTTTTTTTTTTTTTTTTTTTTGGAGACAGGGTCTTGCCAGGTAGCTCAGGCTAGCCTGGAACTCACAGCAATCTTCCTGCTTCAGCCTCCCAAGTGCTAGGATTATAGGTGTGTGCCACTCTGCTCGGCCTAATTTCACTGTTTTTAAAATGGTTCTTCTTCTTTTTTTTGGAGACAGGGTCTCACTATGTAGTTTAACTGGCCTTGAACTCATTATGTAACCCAGGCTGGTCTGCAACTTACAGCGATCCTCCTGCCTCAGCCTCCCAAGTGCTAGGAATACACGCATGCGCCACCATGCCCAGTCTTTTTACTTTATTTTTTTGGTACTGGGAATTGAACTCAGGATCTTGTGCTTTCCAGGCAGGTGCCATGCCAATGAGTTATATCCCCGGCCCAATGCCCTGACTTTAAAGTGATTTTTATATAGCTATCTAGAAAATTCAATATCACACATGGCTCACATTTTATTTCTACTGTCTGGTTTTGCTGTAGAACTTTCTGATTACACCAGAACTGCATAGCTCTGTCCAGAGTTCTAGTGTTCTAGAAGAGCAGATAAACTCTACTTGTTTCACATTCTAGAATTCTCCAGTCTGACCAGAACCAGACAGGTGTGTTCATCACTCCAGAACATCGTCATCAGCCCAAGTCCCTTTAATCTAGGACCACAAGTTGCCAGGCATGGTGGCACACTCCTGTAATCCCAGCACTTGGGAGGCTGAGGCAGGAGGATCACCCACAAGTTCAAAGCCAGCCTGACCCACATAGTGAGTTCAGGGCCAGCCTGGACTACATAGTGATAGCCTATCTCCAAACACAAAAAAATCTAGAACCATAAGCAACACAACAAGCTCTGGAGCTCCCTAGCAGAGTCATAGCTCCACCCATGATTCTAACTTTTTTTTTTTTTTTGGTACCAGGAATTGAACTCAGGACCTTGTGCTTGCCAGGCAGGCGCTTGTGCCACTGAGCTATATCCCTAGCTCCACCCATGATTCTAACTTTTTTTTTTTTTTTGGTACCAGGAATTGAACTCAGGACCTTGTGCTTGCCAGGCAGGCGCTTGTGCCACTGAGCTATATCCCTAGCTCCACCCATGATTCTAGAACCTTCTCAGTGCCACAGGGCCTGACAGCCCCCTCATCACCACCTCAGAACTTGATACTGATTTAACCCAAGGTGGTGTGGAGGACAATTCCAGAACATTCCAGATGGCCAGAGCTAGTTCTTCCCGTGGGGAAGGGGACAAACAAGCAGCCTTTTCCATAAAGGTCCAAATGGCTGACATTTTCATTTTCCTGGGCCAGATACTCTGTACCCTAGCGATGGGCATGTCCGAGTAACTCGAGCTCACAGACTGGCCCTACACTGACACAGCCACAATGTCCCCACGCCACAGACCACACAAGACCACATCACATGTGTCTGTCATCAACTGACACATGATTACGTGGCACACAGCTGTACCCAGCTGTCTTTATCATACCAAAGCAGCCAGGCAACATGGATACAAATGGGCTGTGTCTCAATAAAACTTTGTTAACACACATGAAAATCTGAATTACATGCCATTTTCAACCTGGCAAGAAATGCTATTTTCCGTTTCTCTTTTTGCAGTGTAAGGGGTAGAACGAGAGCCTCATGCATGCTAGGCAAGCACTCACCACTGAGCTATACCCCCAGCCCTTTTAATTTTTTATCTTGAGACAGGGTCTTGCTAAGTTGTCCAGGCTGTCTTTGAATTTGTTTTTTTGTTTGTTTGTTTGTTTTTGTTTTGTTCCAGTACTGGG